TTGATTTCCATGCTCACGGGTATGACTGCCCCTTCCAGTGGTAATGCTACCTACCGTGGCTTGTCGATCAACGAGGACATGGACGAAATGCGCCGGTCGCTTGGTATCTGTTTCCAGCACGACGTTCTGTTCCCGGAGCTGACGGTCCAGGAGCACCTCCAGTTCTTCGGACAGATCAAGGGATACGCGAATGAAGAGCTGCAGGCTGTGGTTGATAGACAGATCCGTGAGGTTGGTTTGACCGAGAAGCGCAACTCGAAACCCAACGATCTGTCGGGTGGTATGAAGCGTAAGCTGTCGGTGGCTGTTTCACTGCTGGGTGACAGCTCGCTGGTGTTCCTTGACGAACCAACTTCCGGTATGGACCCCTACAGTCGTCGCAGCACGTGGGAGATTCTGTTGAACAACCGCAACGACCGAGTGATGGTATTGACGACACATTTCATGGACGAAGCCGACATCTTGGGTGATCGGATTGCTATCATGGCTGAAGGTGAGATGCGCTGCTGTGGGTCGTCGCTGTTCCTGAAGAACCGCTTCGGTGCGGGTTACAACTTGACTCTGGTGAAGGATGATGCCAAGTGCGACGATGATGCTGTGGCGGCTTTTGTGCAGTCTTTCGTGCCGGCCGCTGTGTTGCTGAGCAACGTCGGCAGCGAGATCGCGTTTCAGCTGCCTCTTCACAGTTCGTCCGAGTTTGCGACTATGTTTGCTGAGATGGATCGTCAGTTGCAGACACTGGGTCTGTTGTCCTATGGTGTGTCCGTGACTACGCTGGAAGAGGTGTTCATCAAGGTGGCAGAGCTGTCGGACGAGCACAACCAGCATACGCTTGGCAAGCACGTTACACGAGCTAATTCCGCGGGTTCGGATGGGTTTTATCAGCCGTGCGACGAGATCATCACGACTGAGTCCATTTTCCGGAGACACCTGCGTGCACTGCTGCTAAAGCGTTTCCGCTATGCCAAGCGCGACAAGAAGACAATTATCTACGTCGCTGCGCTGCCGGTTCTACTCATTGCCGCCGGTCTTGGAATCTTGAAGAGCAGTATGGCTATCAACGACGATCCTTTGAAGGCTTTAACAACCGATGAATACTCCGGTAGTGCGACCCCGACGCCGTACTTTTGCCAGGTTGGAGCTGGGGCTGGAGACTGGTGCAGTGATGTGATGGCATCGTCCTACTACTCCGGAGCCGACGCACAGGCACTCTCCATCCCGGAACCAGCTTTTGACTCCAACTCGCCCACTGTGTTCGGGGTCACTTATACGGATCCTGCTCTGAACGCGAGCGGGTACACTGGTTACAGTGTTGCGATGGGCCAAGAGGCATTCGAACGTGGATACGGCAAGGGTGCTGATCTCGTGGAGGGCCAGTACGGCGGCTACTTGGTGTACGGCGACAGCAGCCAGAACTTGTTTGGCTACAACGTCTTCACGAACACTACGGGATCCCATTCGTCAGCAATTTTCAAGGCGTTGATGGACCAGGCGGTGTATCGCTTCTTCGCATCGAACAACTCCACTGATTCTGCTTCAAATCTGAACTTGAAGGTGAACAACCACCCGTTGCCGTACAC